ATATATACACACATATATATGTATATATATTTTACTTTGTATGTATCAATATATATATATATATATATATATGGAAATATATATATACATATATAAACAAATATATATATGTATACATTAATATATATATAAATATATGTATATGTATATATATATATAAATATATATGAATATGTGTGTTTGCGTGTGTGTATATATATATAAATATATACATACAAATATAAATATATATATATATGAATTTATTTTTGTGTATATATATATATAAACATATATTGTGAATTAGTGTTTGTATATATATTTAAATATTTCAAACATATGTCTAACCCTATACCGACATAATACTTACAGACTTTGAAATTGTGATGGATACTTTAACATCCGTGATAATTATTTGTTGAAACATGAATCCGTAAATAATGGCATCCAAAATACTTTATTCGCCAAATTATGCACCAAGCGAGCACTTCGTAATTAATGGTGCAGCAGAGACTTTTAGCAAATTTATTCTTTACATATCATTGCTTTACTCGTCATCTTCATCATCATCGTTGTTGATGTTGAAGTACTTGATCTCGTAGGTTCCCTTATCGGAAGCAACTACACGCATCCAATCGCGAAGCTGATGCTTCTTTAGGTACTTCTTGGTCAAGTACTTTAGGTAACGCTTGGAAAAAGGCTCCTGTGAGACGAACGAGTAGACGATGCGTAAGGATACATAGCTTGTGACTAGAAAAGACAACGTAAAAGGCCTCGGATTTTGGCTTCCATTTGCGTTCAGGTCATATATTTGTATAATCATTTTGGACTCATGGGATTGACAGATTATGAAAAAGCATCATTACAAACAAACAAAAAACAAATCCACTCAGTATATATAATCATGTTGAAAAAGAAAGAATATAGATGACCTACCTCAGCGGTCACGTTGATCTTGGCTCCAACAGCTTTAATGGATACCTTGTTTCCTAGGTTACCAACCTTGCCATCAACCTTAACACGGTCGTGCAAGAACTTGACCTATTTTTGTGTTGGGATCGAGATCGGATATGTTTTTTTAGGGATTAGGGAAGAGAGCCCTAATCCTACTAAAAGGATTAGGGAAGAGAACCCTAACCCTGAAGGTTAGGGAAGAGAACCCTAACCTTGCAGGAGTGACGAGTTTTCTCGTGTATCCTTGCAGTATTGTAGTTTGTTATTGTTTATCATCAAATTACCCTACATCGAAGTAGCCGCTCAATCTTCGGATCACACGATCGATGGACCATCAATTGCCACAGAAGACTTCAGCAAGATAGGTATACTCTAGAGATTGCAATAACACCTCGGCACAAACGTTTCGCCAGTTTTAATCAAATCACTTCAACCAGGGAAGGTGAAGTATCACCGCATCGCGTTTTTAGCATGTGCATGCATCTAACCAAAATATTGAAAAACTACTGCACAATCTATCTGTCGGCAATATATCTGAAACTAACAGCCCTAAAATGTGCTACTGTTTAGATTGATATGAAATAAACATAAAATTACAAACTTGTGCACTTTGAGAACGTGTGCGTCTACAGCGCAAGTAGCTAATTATCTGCATCTAAGACTTACGAAAGAGTTGATGTCAAGGATGTTATCATCAACGGGACGGGCGCAGTCGATGACGAACTTCATCTGTGTCTTTTTGGCATTTTTCTTGCCGGCGGGTACTCGAGCAACCATTTTTGCAGATGTGTTTAACAACAAACTCAGAAGATGGTTATGTGGAAAAGGATAAGGACTGTGTGTGCACACGCTTTCTAATATTGTTGTAGCACTGCTTGTTTCGGTCTGGTGGTGTTGGGTGAACCACGTTCAAGTTTGTTTTTTAATTCACACGCGGGCAGCGGGGGCGGGTTCCATAAATATATCGCCGGAAAATAATGTGAGAAAAGCCAATTCCAGTTTTCCGGTTTGGAAACTAATTTCGAATTTTCCACAAAAATTAGTTTTTGTCCATTTGTTTCAATAAAACCGGTCCGGACGACCGGGCCCCCTCACTCCCAAGTCCCAAGTCCCAAGTCCCAGACTCCCATCAGACATCAGCCCCTGTTCCCAAATCTCAGTTCTCTCAGCTAGTAGTAGACTGCTCTGAGAGAGACTGCCAAACTTGTATTCAATTTTATTAGGTGAGGGCTGTGAAGTGTGAGCTGTGAAACTTGAGACACAAAATAGCAATATGACTCATACTATCCTATTTATGAAAACAGCGGCTATGCTGAAAAACATATTTAGATGCCAACACCGCCAGTGCGCATCTGGGGGCTGCTGTGGAGTCATACTCAACGCCGAATTGTGTCAGAAAATATTTTGAGCCAATCCGTATTTAGCTACTTGACTATAAACCAATTATAATGAAGATAAACTATCAATAATTCCACGTGGAATACACTTTATACAACTAAAAACTTCAGTGCGTCCATTTACCGAGGAATCTGTACGAAAAAGCTTTATTTAAAAAAAACCCCCCAGAAGGGTTGGGAAGTTTGGAAGTTTGGATCCAGGATTTCGGAATTAATATCGGCATTTACGCTGTCTTATACCGATTTTCATAAATCCGCAAAAAGGTTCCTAACCCAAATACGAAAATAAAGCTCAAATTTAGGAATAGTCTCAATAGTATACCCTAATTTGGTGCTCGAATTTAGCGTTTCGCCTGGGCTTCTCCAGAGCTGTCACCAATTTTCTCCTCGAATCGAGGACTTCGAGAGCACATCCTCAGTCCAGAATATGTGGGTTTTTACACTCCCCTATCAATCGCAATAGTGTCCTCTGAATTCTGACGATCTCAGGCAGCTCGCAACACAGCAACTATCAAGTGGCGTTTCGCTTGTGCAGAAGCCATCGTAAAATTCAGACACGGAGAAGGATACTTTGCACAGACAGAGACAGACATCTGACAGCTGTGACAGCGCTAGTAGTAACCCAAACAACCCAAGCAATCTATAGCCAGAAACCTCCACAGGTCGAGGAATCCGGAGTCGCGAACATTAGTGTAAGTGGCGGTGAAGGACAAATTCTATTGCGTCCGCGATATCAGCCACTGACAGCAACAATACACAGACAAGCCCAGAACAACGAACGAAAACAGCAACGTACACTAAGCCAAACTAATCAAAAACAGAGGTACCGACCAGTACACTCCAGCGCCCCGTGTTGGATCAACTTGGTAAGTCAGATATCAGTGGCGATGAACCATACGCAGAATACACTATTTAAGCCCGACAAGTAGATATGATATCAATTAGCACATACAATTATCATGGTATCCCGCGATCGTGCACGTAGCCAACGCTTAGACGCTTAGATGATCCGCAATATTAGAGCTAGATGTATAGATAAACGCATACATGATCGATATATATATATATATATATGCGTGTAATGTGTGTATATATATATATACACACATATATATATATACATATATATATATATATATATGTATATAGTATATAATAGAGTGCATAATGTGTGTCTTGTATATGATATTAGTTTATTATTTTATTAGGTCCATGTTGTATATCTATTGTCTTATAGTTATAATATATATATATATATATAT